TCCCCACTCTGTCTCTGGTGAAGCCTCTCGCCGCCCCTGAGCCTCTGGCCTGTACCCCAGTTCTGTATGCACAAATAAATAAATCTTTCAAAAAAAAAAGGGAAAAAAGAGAAAAAAAACCACATTTAACTCCAAACACAAAAATTCAAAATGGATTAAAGACCTGAATATAGGAACCGAAACCACTGACTGCTTGAAGGAAAACACAGGAGACACACTCCAGGACACCTATCACAAAGGCTGGGAAGACAACCTCTGCAACAAGAGAAACCAAATGAACAAGTGAACTATATAAAAGTTAAAAGCATCTGCACCCGAAAGAAACCATCAAACAAACAAAAAGGCAACGTACAGGATGGAAAAAATAATTTCATAGACCAAACATCAGACAATGAGTTTACCTCCAAAATTTACATAGTTCTTACACAACTGAACAACGCACCTGATCAAAAAATGAGTAAAGAACCTAAAGACATTAAGACAGCCTACAAGCATATGAAAAGTTGTTCACAGCACTTATTACAAGGAGAATGCAACATAAAACCACACCTAGGCACCACATGTGAGAATGGTCCAGATGAAAAAGAATGGAATTAACAAACGTGGGTGAGGTTGTGGTGCAAAGGGACTCCGGGTGACTACTGGAGAGAATGTGAGTTGCTGCAACTCCTGTGGATAACAATACAGAGATTTCCCAAGAAAACAGAAATGAAAATTGTGTACCATCTGACAATCGCTCTATTATTTGCCCAAATGATATGGAAACTGTAAGTAGATTTATCCATATTGTGTACACAGCAGCACTGCCCACACTGCCAATTTATGGAGCCATCCCAGGGGCCCTTCAAAAAATGAATGGACAAACTGGAATATGTGCTCACAGATGGACCTTGTGGTGATTACAAAACATGAAATCAATCAAAAAGGGGAAGGCAGTTAGAAGATGCTACACAGGGAAAGTACAGTAGGAGGAAATGTTGAATTAAGTGTAAGCCTATAATGGTTTCAGAAGGAACAGGGGGCAGGGGAGGGGATAAGGGAGCCAGGCAGACGGGCAATGGGAACTGGTGTGCTGGTGCGGGCTGAGGGCCATGTGCACACATGGCAAAGAAAGTAAAAAGAAAAAATTGTAATAAACCTAAAACTGTTCCTTCAAAAAAGAAGAAAAAAGATTCCAAGGGCTTAATAGACACTAAATTGCTTTTATTTGTGAAACTGCTTTTTTCGATTCATGTAAGAACTTTAACAATTCTGTATTCCACTGGAAGCCATCTGTGTTCACAGCACACCAGTACGGACTACAGGTGGTTCAGGACACAGATGACAGTTCCTGAGCAGCTCCAGTCTCCCGGGCAGGCAGGCAGGGAATAAGGTCGGTAACAACAACACAGTGTGCCAAGGGCAACAGGAACACTTCATGCAAGGAACAGAATGGAAACTCAGTGTTCGTTTCCATCTCAGCCTAAAAGGCACAGCCAGGAATTTAAATTTGCTATGCCTCCTCGAGTGAAGCAAGACCGTCGTTTTATTTTTTTAAGGCAATAAATGCAGATATTTCAACTAATTTTGCCTAAGAATAAAGATCTAGTATGAATTACTAGACATGGTAATAAGTTTAAACTTAGGTATCTTCAATCAAATTGAGGAATGGGTCAAATAACTTTATTAAATAATGAATAAACTACTTCCCATTCCAGCCACTTTCAGGCCAAAACCCAAACAAAAAATGTCAGCAAACTTTTATTTGTCCATTAAATGTCCATTATATGAAATGAGCCACTATATGAACTGTTTGAACATTGGAGTAGAGCAGAAAACAAACCAGATAGAAAATTCTTTGCTCTTGTGGGTGTGCTAAGGTGACATACATGTGAAGAGGTGTAAACCCCTAAATCAGGGTTTGTAGATGAATATTATCTCTACAAATACACAATTAGAAAAACAAACAAACGTTTGCCTTTTGGTTATGCATATATAAGCCAAAAACTAAACGTTTAAAAACAGTTTAAATAAACAATGAGAACTTTTCAAGCTGTATCTAAAAATATAAAATTGGCTAAGACTATACTAAATAAATTACAAATTAGACTGTGGCAGGAATGTGGACAGACTATAACAAAGAAATACCAAGAGTTTGGAGGCTCATTCACTCACCCCAAAATGCATGTACTGAACTCCTAGGACTAAGGAAGCAATGCTTGCTGGGTGGGATTTAAAGTCTCATGAAAACAAAGCTACTGAAGAAAGCAGTGGGGAACCCCAAGGGCTGGAGGGATGAGCAGGGAAGGGCTGGAGGGATGAGCAGGGAAGTTCAGAGAAAGCTACAGGATGAGAGGAGGTGAGGGTTGCCTCTCTATGAGAGCTGCATTCTGAGGAAACTCTGAAGTAAAAATAATCTGCAGAAAAAAGAATACTTTGTAAAATATACCCAAACCCCACGTTTATCAGTAAGAATTTACTTTGAAAGGCTGTATTTCTTACCTTAAGTCTAGTTCTTTTGTCCTAAGGAAATTTAAAATGGGTGCAAATGCTGCTGGATCCCTGTCAATAAATATCTGGAAATGAAGATTATTTCAAATTATATATTGCACTGTTAACTTTAATAGCTGAAACACTAGTTTAGGCAACACTAGAACTATTGAAAAGCTGTTTCCCCTTGATTCTACCTTTAAAGCTATTATTAGACTGAAAGTATTTTAACATGTAGTGACAGCAATATCTACTAAGTCAGTTTCCTCGTTTCTGTTTATTGATTTCTCTGCAAAACAGATTCACACCTGTGGACAAGTTTGTACAAGTTTGTACCTGAAATATTCTAGAATACAAACGTATAATGTTTTGAAGATATTATACATAAATAATACTTTGCTAATCATTGGTGATGGGGAGATATAACTTAGGTAATTTGTGATTCATATGCCAACTATTAAAACAACAATGTACTTTGATAACATAAAGGGTAACCAAGGGGAGAAAGTAAATACTGCTGTTACAACTAGGAGGAGCATCTCATAATGCATCCACATCCCACTGGTGGGGGAGGGGAGGTGAAGATAAGGACTTAACATTTAATATGTATAGGGTAAATGCTTAAAAAACATGAAATACATAATAGGTTAACTTTTCACAGGAATGAACCGACAGTATTTTGAATCAATAACTAAGTTCTAACTGTAAAACTGAACACCTTTATAGTGTATCTAAATCCATCAGGCGGGGAATGGGAGCAAATTATCAACCTCTTTACACTATCACCAATGAGGCATCTACAATGAATGAGGTTGTTCCAGTCTCCTAAATTTCTGCTTCTATTTTTATCACATTCAATCTCAATCAAAAGTTGAAGAAATACCACCGATTTGTGGTAATCTTATCCCCAGGAAGTCTTTTTTGTAGACACAGGCTCAGTTATTTCATCTACAAGTCTTACACTTCTACTCTCTGGCTACTTTGTTACCTCCAAAACAGTGAAAGCCCTTTTGCAACACTGGACATGCTATTTGGCACCTAATAATCATGCCTGGGCTAAGGGCAGGGAGACCTCGGGAGAACCAGTCCTGAAGCATTTCCTGGGTGAAGCTGACAGCACGTGATCAGGCTGCATCTAGGCCACACGGCACAGCCAGCAGGGTCACCGGCACAAGCAGTTGGTGTGCACTACTGTAAATCACTCTCTGACTGTATAAGCCAATTTTTTTGTACTGAAACTTAACTCTTTATCTCATTCATTCCATCATTGCCACACAAGCTCATACTTATTCTCCAAAAATAAACTGTAGGACTTAACTAGTTTGCAATAACTTGGCATTCAAACTCACTATCAAAATATTTTTGTACTGATGTTCATCCATTTATTTACTGTATTAACATGTGCATGCATAGCTATAATTTCTATGAATACTTAACTTGCTATATAGTTAACACTTTAATTGCTACATTTATCTTCTATAATTACAGAAATAGTGTACACATGACAAGAAATGCTATATATACATATTTCACTTACATTTACAGGCTATTAAAATATGAGCTTTCTTATCTTCTTAGTCACTGTATAAGAGTAATACATTATAAAAACTAAGCTCATTCAGAAATATATCTTAGCATTATACTCACAGCACCAGTTTCATCTCTAAGTGTTGAAATTCTTCCACTCAGCAAACTGCAATGCATTAACAAACTAGTTAGTTTTTGAAATCTGGGTGTGAATAAAACATCCTAATTCTTTATCAAATATCAAAGACCAATTAAGCCATCTTATCTCCCAAGTTAAAAAAAACATTCTATTTAAGCACTAAGATTCTTCAATAAATAAAAACATTAATTTAACCATTAAGAAAATCTTATTATTTTGATAATCAAGTATATTGAAACAGTAATAAGAATTAGACCAATACCTGGAAAAAAAAGAATCTGGAATCCACATTAGAGTTTGTCTTGAGGTACTAAATCTGCAAATGAAAATTATCAGGTGTTACAAATTAAGATATTACTTGAAATTTCATTGTTAAGCTAACTTTATAAACTAGCTGATAATCTACAAATCAGCTGATGATTTATAAGCTTGTGCACTGCTGTATCAATTATACTTACTACATTTAATCATTTAAAACTGTTTTCAATTCAGAATTAAAAATCATTCAAGGAGCTCTCAACAAAAAAATAAATCACTGGCATATAACACTCTCAAGCATGCCAATCTGCTGAAGAATCAACAATCAGTCCATCAACAAGTCTAAACCTGTCAGCATTAAGGTTCACAATTGTCTGCAGGTCCCCTTTCATCTAGACAACACAAACTGGCCCCTCTAGTCGGAGACTATTTAATATTCCCAAATGATTCATGCTTCCTACCATTCTGGTATCTCTGCCCCAGCTAGATCATTGCATATTGTTATGTGCAATAATCCAAGCTCCAACCAACTTTCTTGGCTGCATTCTGGGTTTACCTTCTCTGTGGCTTTTCCAATATTCCCATAATCTTTTTGAGCTCATTAATTCCACTGTACATTATGCATGTAACTCTACATGTAGGCTTGGGCTACTAGCAACTACTGCATCCGTTCATTCATTCAAAAATCACCCAATTAACATTGTTGTTTTGAGGTTAACACTCATTTGATCAAGTCTGCTTATAACAATTTTGTTGGAAACTTTAGTAAAATACAGTGTAACAGAGAGAGAAAAAAAAAAATCAGTTACATGCCGAAGAATGCAATGCAGGGCTCATGGAAGCCAGCCCTTGTCTGAGTGTGTCACGGTTAACGCACTGCAGGTGGAGTCCTAGAACCTGATGACTGTTTGAAAGCAGCTTCTGAGCCCTTTGAACAGGTTAAAAATCAGTCAAACAGTTTCCAGGAAATATGGCAAATTTTCTCAAGTGTATCTCCTCAGTAAATTGTTAAAAGTGAACAAATAAAACTAGTCCCAAGAAACTAACTGGGTCAAACAAATGAAAGTAAATTCAGTCAATTACGAACTGATGCCTCCAAGGGTGTACAACAAAAATGAATCACTCTGTTTGGAAGTCATCAAATTCATTCCAAACAAGGATCACTTATAACTTGGGACCTTTTATGTTCACTGCTTTTACAGCAGGTTGTTTGCCAAATAACCCAAATTCTTCATAATTTAGAAAATTACAATGCTGGGTTTTAAATCACATTGGCAATTTTAATTAAAATAAGCAGTTAGGAGTTATTTAGCTAAGAAATTTCTGGGCAAAGGAATTTCTTTACTAACATGAGAAAGGATGGGATAAAATCCAGAGCTCTAAACTAGTTCCAAATATGACTTCACGAAATGAGGACATTTTAAATTACACACGTTATGGCAAGGGTCATCTGCAATCTGGTCTAAGCCAGTTTTACTGAAAACTCGAGCATAGCCACATTTATATTCCGTGCTACTTGCCTCCTACTACGGTAACTCAAAAGCAGTCTGGTCAAAATTATTCAGCAATGATGCAACTGATAATGCCACTAAGCCCTGCACTTCCCATTTATTGCTGCTTGTTCCTTTATCACATAAATATACCCTACTGTCCTCAACTGCTCTCATCACGCCTCAAATCTTAATCACTCCTAACTGAATTTATCACAATTGAGCCCCACAATAATTATCAATCTAAGTGAAACTGCATCCTCTCTACCTCCTGAATCATCCACAAAGTATAAAATAAGTCATAAGAACTTTCCTGTAACTCCATTTTCTCATTTCTTAAGAGGAAAAAAGACTAAGATGTGACATACACTTCTCTGCTCATAAACTCTTCTTGTGAATGCTTTCTACTGTTAGTGCCTGCATCAGTCCTGGCCACCAAGGGAGCTCACAGCACCACCAGGGGTCTTCACAGTGACAAGTCCTCAACTTTAATGACCATCATACCACAATCTTAAGTGACTATATAAGTCCATGTTTACCACAAGATCTTGCTGACCACCAGGTTCCTTCTACCGCTAAAACGCTGTGATATCACCTAAAACGCTCTGGCTCTAACATCTCTGTCTTGTACAATTAAAAAAAAATTAATGAATTCTGCAATAGAGTGCACCCATTAAGCCATCCACTTCCACCATGCAGTACATAACGACGTTCTTTATTTTTATTGTTAATACTGATATGTCCTTTACAAAGTGTGAAAAGAAATCCACGAATAATCAAGACAGTTAGGAAGCAATCGAGGGAGTTTAAGTCACCCAGGCCTCCTCCTCGGCCTGAACACACCGTGGGGATCTACTCTGCATCCATAACTTATCCGACCTGCAATCTTTTCAGATGCTTTTAGTAAAGAAATCTACATCCTACCCGAGGAGACAAATCACCCTAAGACTAGTTATCCACATGGGGGCAACCATGCCATCATTCCTTACTTTTGCTTTGGGAGAATGAGAGAAAGCAAAGTAGAGAAACAATGAAAAAAATCACCATTTCGGGTGTTGCTTTCTCCAGCACACTCAGACAACTATTCAATGTTTACATGAAAACAGTGTCATTTTCCACACTATGGTTCACACCGTTGCCATCTTGCAATTTTCAAAAAATATTAAAGGTCTTCAATGCTGGAAACGTCCCCTATTCTCAAGCACAGCAAACGACACTGCAAGACACTTCACTGTCTATCTCCTACCGAGGCTGAAACTCAGCCAGCCCTTTTCTTCGGAGAGCGCTGGCAATCTCCCACTCCAGAGCCGTGACCCCCAGAGCCACCCCAAAACAAGGCCTGGAGAGGCAGTGGACACTCGAGCGGGAGCGCGGCCACGAGGAGGACCGAGCCCGCCGCGGGCCACCCCGAGCGCGCCGCGTCCTGCCGGGCTTCGTGGGAAAGATGCAGGGCCCGGAGCTCCGGCGCGCCCGCCAGGCACGAGCCCTAGGCTCCGCCGCACCGCGGCGGTGGCACCCGGCCGTGGCGCCAGGGACCCCGCCCGGGAGCCGCGGGGTCCTCACGAGGCTGGGAGCCCCAGCCCAGCCGCCTCCTCACCTGGTCCCCCCCACGTTCAGCTG